AATAGCTGCTCCATACATGGCTACTGTTGGCATTTGCTGCTAGTTTTCTTGCTCTGAGACAGTGTTGTAACATCTAAATGGGATTTTTTCCTTTTTTGTAGTTGGGAATAGGCCAGCAAGAAGCTGGGGTTAGGAAGCTGTACTCCTTGGGGCTTTTCTAATAAGCCAGACAGCAGTAGCAGCCACAGGACTGCTTTGGGAAGGAGATGACTCCTCTGCCCCGGGCTGGTGGCTCCCTGCAGAGCTCCATGCTGCCAGGGATCGGGGTGGTGATTGCTGAAGGATCATGCACATGAGCAGCTCAGGGGAGAGTCTGTGACTCCAGTCGTGGAAGTGTGATGATATGGAAACCCACCATGAACAACTGCCTGGACCAGGGGATAAAAGAAGAGGATTATCCCTCATGAACTCAAAGGAGAGACAACATTGAAGACAGTAGGTCAGCTGGCTGAGCATTTGTTAAGTGTGGCATGTAGGAAGAGGCAGAAGTTTTACGAAAGGGTCAAGTTGATTTCTTAATTAGCATAACCAAGATTTAGTGAACCAGCTCATAGGAGTTTTAATATTAAATTATTTTAATATTGAAGCACAGAGTTGATTCAGCAAGACTAGAGCAGACCAAGAAAGAAGGCATTGCCCACGTAGTAGAGGTAATACACTTGCCTGGAAGAGCAGAGGGCAGGGGAGGATGCTGCTGCTGGAAGTCTCTGCCAGTGCTGAAAGGTGGAGCAGGGCGTCAGCAAACCCACGGGGGGAATTTTGCTGCTCCTTAGTGGTGAGGGAAAGCCCATAAGCACTCAGGTTGAAGTGTTAAATAGTCTCTTTTGCATCAACTGTCCTAAGGCAGCTGGTGCAATTAAGACCAGCAAGAGAATGATGTGAGCTTAGCCAAACCCAGGGAGGATACACGGCAACAGCAGGAGAAAATTTCAAATTGATAAGGCTCAGTGAGCTTTATCCAGGGCTACTAAAGAGGCGATGGGCATCACTGCAGCTTTACTGCATTATCCGCTACTTTGGAGAACTTTTGGAGGAGGCACTGGAAGACTGCAGTAGAGCAAATGAAACACCTGTGCTTAGAAAGGATGTAAAAAAGGAGCCAGGAAATTTCAGAACAGCTTGATTTCAACCCTCAGAAATTCAGGAACACACACTTAAACAACATGTGTGTGAGCACCTGTGGGATAATAAGGAGAATAGAAGCAGCTGACATGGATTTGTCAAGAACAAATCAAGTCAGATGAATCTCCTTTGTTCTTATGACAAGTTAACAGGCTGTACGGATATTGTGGAACAGGTCGATGTCATCTATCTTGATTTTAGAAAGGCTTTGGAAACTCTGTGTCATTCTCGTAAGTGAATTGGTAAAACATGGTCTAAGTAAGCTCACATTAGGGTGAGCACAAAGCTGGCTGAATTACAGTTCCCAGGGAATTGCCAGCTGTGGTAGGTGGCTGCCCTGGGGCTCTCCAGGGCTTATTGCTGTATTTGAGTCTTTTTTATTGTTTTCATCAAGAATCTGGGAGATTTGTTCATTAAATCAGCAGATAACATCAGACTGGGAGGGACTGGAAGTAGGCTGGAGGATTAGAGTACAAGCTGAATGTAAGTAATAGAGTCTGGGGGGGAAAAAAAAGGTGAAATTTGATAGGGACAAAGAGAAGTTGTTTGGCTGAGTAGGGAAGAGGCAGTGGGTCTTCACGAGAGAATTAAATTGGGCCAGGGCCTGTCTGCGGAGTCTTGCAACTGTGAAAAAGGCATAATTGTACTGGCAGGTACAAATAGGAGAATAGTTTGCAGGACAGAAGAAATAAATCCATCAGCTTTATTCTGTCCTAACCTCGGTGCTGCTCTTCCAGAAGAGACCAATGCCAATGCCCAGAGACACAGAAAGCGTGAGCCGCGGAGGGGAGAGGAGCGCACGAGAGCTGGTTTAGCCTAAAGGAGAAAACAGCATGGAGTGGGAAGGGGTGGTGGTTTTCACATCGTGAAGATTGTTGTAAAGAATGACAGTATTAACCTGTCATTCTAATTCTACCTGTAAGGTTAGATGAGAAGTCTAGGTTGGCGAAATCAGGGACTTAAATTAGACCGTACCAACAGTAATGGCCTGACGGTGCAGGAATTGGGTGCCCGAGGTGGCCTGGGGACAGGATAGAAGAACATCTGCCAGGAAGGTCATGGGGAGCTGATTCTGCCTTGGGGCGAAAGCAACAGGGGGTTGGGATGGCCCTCAGGGCTGCTCCTGCCTCATTTTTCTGTCATTTGCTGTGTTGGTACGCCACAGACCTCTCCTGGACCATGGGTTATGGCAGCTCCTTAAGGTTTAAACAGGTTTGGGATTGTTTTTTTCAATTATGGGTGTTTTTCAGGCAATTGGCTACCTGAGGCCTGGGGAAACCAGTCTGGTGAGTTCATCTGCTGAGGGAGGATTTCTGATTGCGATATTTCCCTGGGAGTCTTCTAGCTTGCTTTAAGCATATCTCCTTTCTATTGATATCTCCTAACAGATAGACTCTCCCCTATCATTTTTTCCTCTCTCATTCGAAGCAGGCTGCAGGTTTGGGCAGTCGGAGAGAGGGAGTCGCAGCCCGCCATGAACCGTGCAGAGCAGCGTGAGCTGCGTTGGCTTGTTTTGGGGTGGGTATTCTCAAATCCAGTAAAACAGGTTGCTTTTCCCCAACATACCTCACTGTAATCAACCCTGGTGAAACATCAGAAGGCAGCTCTCAGAATGTGAGCAAATGGATTAATTTAATATCTTTGAGAGTATTTACTGAGACTCACCTCTCCTTTTTTATGCACAGCACAGTAAGGCTGCTATGGGTTTCTCACAATTATTTCTGTAATTTATTTCACAACATCTGCAGCAGATGCTGAGTTTGATTCTATTAGTGTCCCGGGGTTTTGGTTGTTTTTCTCAGAATTAGTAACTGGTTGGAGCAGTTCAGGAGCATGTTATTTTGTCCCTTTGCTGTTAGTTAGACTGGTTGAGCAGAGGCAACCGGGTGAGCCAAGTTCCCATGCCAGGTACCCGGTGTGACATTCACACCTTACAACTGATCCCTGAGAGTGGACTTAGATCCTCCCTGTCACAGATCTCCTGGGGTTACACACTACAGACCTTTTGCTTTGATTTAGTCCTATGCTGAAAAATCTCTCTGAGCTGGAAGCTATTCTTCATGCAGTGTGTTTAATCCAGGTTCCCACCCCATGCCTGTAACTGTGGCATCTCCAACATAACATCAACTGTCCTCAAAGGGAGGGTTATGGCCGCTAAATAGAAGCTGATGCCCTTTTCTTACCTGTGGTGAATTTTTCTACTTCTTCTCTTGCTACTGAATCAAAAACTCTGACTTCTTTGATGTAGTCTTGTTGAGACAGGAGCTCTACGATCTTCTCCCCTATAAAACCACATCCTCCTGTCACCAGGTAGACCCAGGCTCTATCCATTTCTGAAGTTGTTTTTGTGGTTGAGGAGTAGAGAGAAGGTTGCTGCCAAGATCCTATCGTGCACTGTTAATCTCTCAGCCAATGTTTTCTGAACTAAGTCTGAAGTTCAACGGTCGTATAAAGTTACTGGCTGAACATTAACTCCATCCAGTTATATATAGATCAGGTTTTCATTGGCACGGTCACACAAGTGCTGCCACAGACATACCAGTGCTGTGTACAGGCCAGTTCGGGGCTCTCTGACTCAGCCGTTCCCTTCTGCCACAGTAGCCCATGATCAGCGGGGCACCTCCAGCTTCCCTTGGTATGTGGCCAGTCTCAGTCCAAAATTTTGATGCCAGCAGTTTTCCATCCTTGACAGCCCTTTCCCACAGCTGTTGTTGTCAGCTGTTGTAGCCCGGACCTCCCTGGGTGCTACACAAAGACGGCGCGTCCCTAGAGGTGTACTCAGGGCCGCCAGCCTTTAGCGTGCAGCTGCGCAGCTCTTGTTCCCGTGCCCTAGGGAATTCGTACCGACGGTGTGCAGCAGCAGAATTGTCCTGAGCCGTATTGTGCACAACACAGGCAGGGTCAGAAGGGTTACCTGCAACTTTACCGTCACTGTCTCTGCCAGTTTGATTACGTAGCATGGCTCTGCTGAATGAGTTCTTCTTTCAGTTGGAATATATACATGCATACATATACGAAGTCCTCTCTTAATTTGAAAAATGTCTAGTAGTAAAAGCTCTACCGCATCTTTTGGCAAATTGTTACAATGGTTAAGTATCATCATCTTTAAAAGAGTGAACTGTTGTTTTTTATTTGCAGAGAGTGGCTAATACACTTTTTCCTTGCTAGGCTGCAAAGGCTGTGTGCTATCCAGTTTGTCATATGAATTTTATTTAAAAAAAGAGATTGGCTTTAGCTAAGGGTGCTTAATCCTGTCCAAAGGGGTGGGGGCCCTGTGGCATAGCTGTTTCTCTCTCTGCCTCTCATAAAGAGTCTGAAAGACAACTAAGTTGGGCCTGATCAGCTACCAGGCTCTCTTTAAAGCCAAGCAAATAATTGCCTTAAGTCTGGAGCAGTCAAATATTTTCCAATCCATCTTTGGACCAACTTGCCACTGTTTTTTGTGAACTGTAGACACACTGTCCTAAAAGAGGTATCAATGACAAATAGGGTAATGTAATTTCTCTGCTTACTTTTTTCTTTATAATAAGTACATAGTTGTAGCTGCCTTTCTGGCCATAGTGTTGCTTAGGGAAGCTTAGGAATAGCTCATTCCCATATCAGGATTGCTGTTTGCCTGTCCCCGGTGTCCTGGTCTGTGTGCATGGGTTACAGATGCTGCTTCAGGCTGCGTTGGGGTGGGGGTACTCCTGGTGCCCTTCCCTGGTTGTGTACAACAGGCTGAAATGCGGAGCGCTATATTGTCAGAGTCATTCTTACTATAGTGTTAATGTTTATCTCTCTTTAAATAAGCAAGTTGTACAGCAACCTGCTGCTCTGCTGAGCATGCGGTTAATGAAGAGTTAACACAGTGTATTCAAGGAGTAACTATGTTCTGTTTGTGTGTGTGTGTATATGTATATATTTTTAATCAGCTCCTGCTAGAAGTTCAATCTGTTCAACTGTACCATTGATTTTTCTTGTGCTGTGTTAAGCGTTAGGAAAAGTGCCGGTTCCCTTTGCTGTGATTACAATCAGTGGCCATAATGGCCCAGAGACCAACATGGGCCTGATGCTAATTTGGTGCTTGGCAGGCCAGCACAGCCACAAACATCCTGAGAAATTAATTTAGCCTTTTATCCAGCAACTCCCAATCTGTACAGTAGTGATTAACAGAACTGCCGTCCCTCAGAGGACTTTTTGCAAGGATAAATATATCAGAGTCGGAGGTGTTAGGACACAAAACCCGAGATAAACACACCCTGAGAGACCCAGAGAAGTGCTGCATGGGAATGTTTGGCATCAAGTAACCTTGAGTACGTCCTCATCAGTGATGCAAAAAGCTGTATAAAGCAGAGGCCTTGACACTGTGGACATTTCCCAGTGTTTACAAGACTTAGACTTTGCTACAACAACATCAGTATCTGCATATCTGCAGTGTAATCTGATCAGTAGGGGAAAAAAAAAAATTGCTGGGATTTACATATCTCTTGGTTTTGTTAGCATATAAAAAAACAAGTTCAGAAACCAGAACTGTCACGTCTCTGACAGAAACAGCCCAGGTCCTCTCCTACCGCCGCGGCTCAGGCAGAGCAGCGCTCCCTTTGCAAACGGGTACTTGCATCTAAATGGGGAGTGGTTCCCAGAGTAGGAAGGTTTTTTTTAAAAAAAAAAAGTCCCTAACCACATCCTTCTGCTACCAGTTTGAATTGTCACATGAGGTGACGAGTCGGGGGGTCTACATAAGCCCAGAGGCGAATTCAGAGACAGCGCAAGTGGGCAAAGGCAGAGGCTTCTGGCGGAGGCACATGCCCAGCAGGTACCAGGGGATCGCGGGGAGGGCACCCAGGCAGCCGTTGCTCCCTTAGATTACCCAACTCGGCTTCCTAGAACTGTAAAGAAACTTCTGAGGAAGTGAGGCAAGTTGCAAATAGCAACAGATTTTAATTTAGAATCATAGGATTGTTTGGGTTGGAAGAGACCTTTAAGATCACCAATTCCAACTGTTAACCCAGCACTGCCGAGGTATCACTAAACCATGTCCCTCAGCACCACGTCTACACATCTGCTAAATACCTCCAGAGTATTTACTTGAGGCGACTCAGCCACTTCCCTGGGCAGCCCGTTCCAGGGCTTGACAACCCTTTCAGTGAAGACATTTTCCCTAATATCAATCCTAAACCTCCCCGGGCACAACGTGAGGCCCCTTCCTCCTTACCCTATCGCCTGCTCCTTGGGAGAAGAGACCAGCACCCACCTGGCTCCCCCCTCCTTTCAGGGAGCTGTCGAGAGCGAGAAGGTCTCCCCTCAGCCTTCTCTTCTCCAAGCTGAACATCCCCAGTTCCTTCAGCCGCTCCTCATCAGACGTGTGCTCTAAATTTACGTTTTTAAGCATTGCAGATTTCTCTCTCTGGCTTGTTCCCCGTCAGGCAGTCTGCTGCAGCCAGCGCCTGCTCAGCGGAGGGAAAGCTGTGATCCTGCACTGCCGTAAAACTCCTGCAGGAACAGGAGGGCTGTTCCTGCAGGAAGAGTCTGCCGTGTCAGGTAGTGCCTCGCTCCGCAGTGCAAAGCAAGATGCTCAAAGGTGACACTGCTCAAAGGCTTACCCAGGCTGCTTTAGGAATTCCGTGGCTCACCACGGAGGCAGGATGTGCCCCTGTATTTGGTTCGTGTGGTTGGGAATGCAGAGTGGTGACTAAGTGTGTCCTAGAGACATAGCTCAAACCTCTGAGGTGGCGGTCGCGCTTGCTGAAGCAGTCTGGCAATATCTGCGGAAGAGCCAGTCCCATCATGGGCAAAGAACGAGGAAACTGTCAGATTTGACTTCAGTTAACGAAGGCCCACGGAGGAGGACCACAAGCAGGGTCTTCATGCGCAGTCTTGTTTTAAAAAAACTGCAAACGTTTAGTCAGGGAAAGTTGGGATGGCAGGAAAGAAAAAGAGATGCCCTAATGTCAGGATGCAGTTTGCTTGAACTTGCTCTGAACTTTGCAAATACAGGACACCTGACATCATATTCATTCACTGTATGTTTATTTCTCAGTGCATTACATGAAAGGTCTTTGGTATTTGTGGGTTCTTGAATACTGTTCCCACTCTGCTCTGTAAGAAAATGCTGAATACAAAACATTCCATATACAGTAACAAAACCCATAGCAAATAAAGAGAAATAGATATTTTGAACAATAACATAGCAATATGAAAACAGATAAGTAACCATGCAAGAGGTGGAACAAACAGGTTGTGTTTACAACAAACATTAGAGCCTGCCATAAATGAGTTCATCGTGTCAGATGAGATTTATTCTTGCTCTAAGTTAAGAAATTACATGATTGCGAGATACTGCGTATGGCTGCCCTATAAAAGACCAAATGGTTGTAAAGCTTATTACAATGAGAGAAGCTGGGACCATTTGCACACATACGAAACACACTGATATAAATAAAAAAAAACAACCTGTGTAAAATAACTAGTGAAAAAGTTAACATTTCCTTCTATGGATGGGAATGTGCTTTGTGGACAATTATAGCACCTTTGAATTGCTTGGTTGCAACGCAATCACAGAAACTGCGAGTAGTTTAAACCCCTATTCCACCAAACACCAGAATGGAATGTAATCTCGAGTAAGACAGAGGCTGTAAACGTGGACAACGGATTTCCAATAAATTGTATCGAGCAGTAATTCCAGAAGCTGATTGTCTTTTAGAAGCCTTTGTCACAGTGGTCAGGTTCCTACATTAAAATAGTTCATTGCAGAGACTGGGACTGGACCCCAGCACCAGAGCCAAACTCTCAGAAAGCCGCCTGTGAGCCATGCGCTCTGCTCCCCTGAAAGCAGCACCCGTCCGTGCCAGCTGAAGCGCTGCGGCAGGTTTTTATGGGCCCTTCCTGTGAGAGTCGACAGCAAAATGACTGTGGAGTTTGGTGGGAGCAGGTGAGGGCTCTTCTCTCTAGTTTATTCCCATTTCCCTGGGCTGCTACCGGTTCTTTACAGTAAGTGCAAATTAGATACTCTGGAGAAAGGCATTCTCCGCCTCCCAGGAGTACCGGGTTGCTGGTGAACGTGAGGGTGCACGAATTGCAAAGATTTTCGGTTGTGCAATGTGCTGCTGCTGCTTCTGGTTAGCTCAAGGCAAGGAAAATGCGTTACTGCTACCAGAACCGATACAAGTCAAAACCACATTGGAGCTCAAAGAAACATGAAGAATTTCAAAAAAGTCTTAGGAAAAAAAAGGAAAAGAACACACTATGGTATTGCACAGTATGCACGTAAGATAAAGCACTAAACATTTCAATTAAAATATATTTCTAAATGAGCACGCATTCAAAATAAACCCACTCTCTAAGTTACATAGACATGGCAGGATGCATTCTATGCCCTGGCTAAAATGAATCTTAGTATCCCGCCTAAGATGGAAAATGTGGTTGGAGT